CCAGCCATGAGCCCGGACCCCCAGCCATGAGCCCGGACCCCCAGCCCCCATCACCGCCACAGGGCAGGGCACCCGGGGGGAGGGGCAGGGGGGGGGTCACTCCCCCTTCTGCAGAGTTTCAGCCCAGAATGAGTTCTGGTGCCTGGAAACCCCAGGCAGGAGGCGCTGAGCAGCCGCACTCAGAAACCTGCCCCCAGGAGGGCGTCTCTCGCCGGGCAGCCAGAAACCAGCGACCAGGTTCAGCCTCCGTGAGCCCGCCCAGCAGCAGGAAACTGGCCCAGGTCGGACCCAGATGGGCACCGTCACAGCGTCAGAACCCCGCGGGGAATGGCCCAAACGGCTCTGAAACACACCCTGCTCATCAGCCCCCCTTCGGGCGGGGCCCTCGTGCCTCAGCCCCCGGGTTCAGAGCACAGACGCGATCGTGGGGCTGCAGAAGGGCTACGCTCAAGGGTGTGAAAAGTCCTCCCCGTGTGACCCCAGCCCACCTCTGTGCGAAGGCGGCGCGGAGGACCGCGATGGGAGACGCCGCCCAAACGGCTCTGAAACACACCCTGCTCATCAGCCCCCCTTCGGGCGGGGCCCTCGTGCCTCAGCCCCCGGGTTCAGAGCACAGACGCGATCGTGGGGCTGCAGAAGGGCTACGCTCAAGGGTGTGAAAAGTCCTCCCCGTGTGACCCCAGCCCACCTCTGTGCGAAGGCGGCGCGGAGGACCGCGATGGGAGACGCCGTGTGGGCACACAGTGGCAGCCAGTCCCCACCCGGAGACGCTGGCACCACTCACCTGCCACCGGGCTGGAGAGATGGTCCAGGTTACAGTCTGTGTCCCAGCTGTAGTACAGCCGCTTCCGCACCCTCTGGCTCAGCTGCTGGTGCCCTGGCAGAAACTGACAAGGGGGATGGGCAGGGTGAGAACCAAGCAGCCCTGCTCTGGCCCCGTCCCAGAGAGCCGGGCTGGCTGCAGGGCCAAGCGAGCACTCGGACACCATAGGGACCGACACGGGCAGAACAAAACCAGAACACAGCCGGTCACTGGAGACAGCTGGGCTA